ATATCTGGGCTAGCCCTCTGATTAACTTTGACCAATAGAATGAGGCAGCAATGATGTTGTGTGACCCCCCAGACCTAACCATAAGAGGCTTTTGCAGCTTCCATTTTCACCCTCTTGGAAGGCAGCCTTCATATAAAGCAGCTTAGGCTAAATTACTGAATGATGAGCGTCCACATGAAGAGAGAGGGCTCAGACTTTTAGGCATCCCCGCCAAGATCCCAGACATGTAAAGGAGGCCATCTAGGACCTTCCGGCCTAGCAGAGCTGACAGCTAAATACCACTGCATATGTGAGCCCAGGTGATAACAGCAGACGAAGCACCCAACCAACTTATATTTGGGGGGTGTTCATTACACAGCAAAGGTAACTGAAATGTCAGTGAAGTTAGGGCTTGCAAAACCTTTGAAGGGCTGTAGGGGCATGCTTTAGGCTAGGCCTCTAGGAATGACTCCCAGAATAATACTGCAGAACTGGCCTGCCAAGGGAACTACTACTTCTGCCATAATCTAAGGGTCAGGAAGCCACCAACCACTTTCTAGTTCCAGAAACACATCACCTTAGCCATGATCTGGGCATCAGCGAGTTGTTACAAGATCTGCTGGCTGCAGATCTATACCACAGTCATTTTACATTAGCAAAATGAATGATTAATGTGCCTTTTCCCCACTTAAGTAAGCTCTGAATTCAAGATGTGTGCAAGTACAGGTATGAAATTAAGCACAGAATCCGTTTGGTATTCTAGACTACTTTGTGTGACTTACAAAAATTTCTTAATAATAAATCTTTAAGAAAGACCTCTCTAACAAGTTTAGAGAAACAGAAAAAAAACAAAAAGACTTGTGCAAGTGTATATGACTGCCAAAAAGTAAATTTTGTTTGAATTTCTAGCTGCAAAAGAGTCTTGGAAATGTAATTTTTAGCTTTTTAGCCTATGTGCTGCTGAAAGGCACAAAAGGAAGAATTTTTTAAAATGTTTTGTTCACTGTTATAGCACCTAATATAATGCCTACACATAAGTGATGGTCATTAAATATTTGTTAAATGACTGAACTAAAATTTGATAAAGGAGAGGCATGATTGAGAGATGATTGTCTCTAGTTAGCCTAGAGTATGACATTCGGTATGCCTAAACCGCTGTTTCTGTCATTCCTTTTCCTGAATATATCCTGGAGTATCAAGAAAGATTTATAATTCAAGAATTTTTTTCAGTCTACTATTTGCCATCTTTACTATCACTGTGCAACCACCTTGAGTCAAACACACTGGTTTTTTTCTTGTGTAATACATTTTCATTAAAAAGGTGAATTTGGGAGGATGGAAAGTAGTTTTTGAAGGGCAAGCTCTTTAGTCTTTCCTGCTTCCCATGGCTTTGGCCGCCATCTCTCTTTGAGGGCTTGTTCTTCAGGATACTGACAGCTTGATTTCTCTGGGTAACATCATGCAAAGGAAATTAGCTCAGTATGTCTTCTACTGAATTCCATCTGTAGTTCAATGTTTTAACGTATTTATGAACAAGGCTACAGAGCAATTTTGATAAGACAATGTTTCAGTCTCTGAGAATATTTTTCCCCAAAAACTTTTTTAAAAATACCACTGAGCAGCCTGGAAATCCACCCCCACATGAGCAATCTCCAGAAAACTTTTCAGGTGTCACAGCCATAATAGCAGGTGGTTCCTTTGGGTATAAAAATTATGACAAGGATAAGAGACAAAAAGCAAACTGTTTTGATATTCTGGGTACAGCTTTCCCCAAGTGAATCATTCCCATATGCTTACTCTTACCATGGGCCCCTTTCCAGAGGAAGTGGGTTGTGTGAATGGAGGTGTAGAGAGGCATTCTGGTGGGCAAACTTCCATGGTGTCCATATTTGGCAGATCCAATTAATCTTTAGATATTTGTCAACCCACTCTTCTACGAGTCTCAAAAGGCAAAATTTGACTATGGATTTGATACCTGTTTTCACTCCTCTCATAATAAATACTTAATCTTGTTATGAAGATTCAGTAGTGCTCATTTGAGGCAAGACAGCTTCTGAAATTCCATAGAAATAGATTTTAAATACAAGCTTGTAAGGAAGGCTGAGACTAGAGCAGTTTGCAAAAGGTGGTCATTTAATTCAGTTTTCTATTATGAAATATTTGAGACATACAACAAGTTTAAAGAACAGGTATTTACTCTCTAGTGAAATTTTGTCGCTTGTAAGATAAAAATCTGGACTAGTAAAAAAGACTTTGTTTCCAGATAGAAATGCAGCAAAGCTGGAAATTAAGAGTTTTGCATAGATTTATTTTTTCCTTTCTCTCTAGTTATAAGTTTAGCATTTTTATCATTTACAGGCACACCAAGTCTCCATTACTGAAAAGGGAGATGCTGTTGTTACCATCTTAATTTAAATAAAAAATCTACCAAGGGAAAGATGTGTACAGGAAGATTCCTGATGGAAAACTTGACTTTATTTGGATAGAAGACAACCACTTTGAAAAATAAAAAGGAAACATAGTCATTAAGCTAATTAATTCTGGCTTTTCCCAATCTTAGAGTGGTGCCATTTACTAGCTGTGTGACATTGGGCAAGTTTTTTAATGTCTCTGTATGTTGTTTCCTGAACTGTATGGTGAGGATAACAATAGGATCTACCTCTTAGGGTCGTTAAGTGTGAAATGCGTACAGTAAGTCCTTGATAAATGTTAGTTCACTTTCTTCTTCCTCAACAAAATGTTAGCTCCACATGAGAGCAGGGACTTTGCCTGATTTTGTTCTGGATCCTCAGCTTCTATTTTGCCCACGGTAGGCATTCAATAAATATTTGTTGAATGGATTAATTGACGAAAGTAGCTAGTTTTGAGGCTAAAAGTGAAAGAGAATTTGTCCTAAGTTTTATAGCTAGTGAGGGAAAAACAGACCTCAGGTTTAAGATAGGTTAGGGAGGTAGGAAAAAACCCCTAAACTAAGATGAGAAGACCAAGATTTAAGTTTAAATTCTTCTAACTCTCTGGGTGTTGATACCAAGGTTTTCTTTCTCGATTTGTAAAATGTAACTCCCAAGGTTATTCTGAGGATTAAATTAAAGTGTGTATGAATGCCCAATAAAATATATAGGGATATACAACACATGGTATTATTAATTTTTATCTCAGTAAGTTTATCCATTGGATGACAATCAAATGATTCTATGAGAGTCTTGGAAGAAAGAATCTTTAGCTAAAGATTTAAGTACTAAAAATATTCAACCCCAGAGGTACCACAGACATAGACTAATTTTTTCCATCTGTGCAGTTTAGGGTAGATTTGGCATACACTCAATACCAGGCAAGAAAGAAACTGGTTTAGGCTGCTTTTAAAGTTTTTAAAAAAGGCAGAAAAAGAAACTATTTCCTCTTATAAGCATGAATGTTAGAATAGAGAAAGCCTTCATCAAGTAATTCACCACTGAAGCAAGCATATTTAATCCATATCCTCTCCTACCTTTTCCCACTCCCCATTTTGTTCTATAATTATTAGTCATTTTATATATCATGATTTATGTATTATGTTGGCTTCCCCCTCACCAAAGAAAAGTAAAATAGGTTATTCTTTATCAGCCACATGTGACTCAGAGGTCAAAAGGGCAGTTCTTTGTAGGGTAAACTTCCTAGATTAGCAGTATTTAAAGACCTGGTTTTCAGAGCCAGGGATTACTCAGAATATTATGGCTTTAAGATTATGCCCCACCCAAGATGCCTCACCAGAGCCTGAGTCTGAGGCTGAGAAACTGACTTGAGGAAAAAGATAAAAGAGCAAAAAAAGCCATAGTGGGTGAGTTGATGACTCACCGCCCCTTCCTTGAACTTCAGGAATGACAAGATGGAAGAGGGGAAGAAAGGCAGTGCCCCACTGCAGGCCAGAAAGACAAGAAATTTCAAGAAAGACAAGAAATTCAGGGAACTTAAAAACTTATATATGTTCTTAGGGTAAAGGCAACAAATATAATTTCTATGGTCGAGTTGTTGAGTACATCAAAGAAAGGAAACTAGGAACACTAAATTATTTTTTACCATCAGCACTATCACCCTAAATCTGATCATTTTATTCCCCTGATTAAAAACCTCAATAACTCTACATTGCTACTGGATCAAGTCTAAACTTACGATGGCATAGAATAGTCTTCATAACATGATCCCAACTTTCCTTATCACCTTCTTGTTCTCTAACTGAACAAGTTAACTGAAGAAGTATATAATGTAGTATCAATTTATTTTTTATCTTATCCATTACGCCACCTTGTTCCAGAGTCCTTAAGAGAGTTTAAAGAAAAAAAAAAAAACCCAAATCCAAACCAAACTGTTCCACACTCATCCCTTTGGTTCTTTTGGTGACCTTCTGTCAGTGCTGATAGTCTGGGTGAAAGACTTTTGGAAAAGTTTTCCAGTACTAGTAACAGCATTTCCTGAAGCATCTTTTATCTTTCATCTTTATGCAGCAAATGATCCTGTCAGTGCCCACAGGTCAGTTTTACCCTAAGATCCAGTGAGTTTGTTCAACCTTAAAATCAGTCACTGAGGCCCTCACCTAGAGCACATAACAAGGTAGTTGTTACCCAGCATGTGTCCCAGCTAAATAAAATCATAGCTGATTCATGTCTGAAGGTGCTCCGGGGGTACAGCATAATGATTAAGAACAGGAGCTCTGGAGTCAGTCTGTCTGTCTGAATCAGGCCACACCTCTGACTGGTTATGTCACTTTAGACAAGCTTCTTAACCTCTTTATGCCTCACCTGTCTTATCAGTAAAAAAGAAATAATAATGATACCTACCTCTCATGGGTTCCTTGTGTGGAATAAGTGAATTAAATGTGTAAAGCACTTACTGGTACATGGTAAGCATACAATAAATGTTACCTCTTATACTCTATACTTTTATGTTTTTAGGTAAGAAAAGTGGGTACAGTAAGAAATATTTTTCTCTATATTTTTAGGTAAGAAGTGTGGCTAAAATTAAAAATTAAAGGAAGGCTGATCATCTTTAGAACAAAACTTTATTTACAAAACTGTAACTTGGTCTGTTTTGGTATTACTATTGACAAAATGCCTTTGGCTAAAATATTAGTTAAGGCGATACATTGATTTTTAGCTTTTCATAAAACAAGAATCCAACACTATCCCAGTTTCTTATTCCTGTGTGGCTCTGAATGCAGATAAACAAAACAAAACAAAGCAAAACAAAATTTTAAAAACCTCCTTTGTAATGTACAATGGCTTAAGCAAACCACTTCTTTAAATTTTTTCTATTTAAGGGTTAGGACTGAGACTACTCATCTAAAATTTGCTATTCACAGAGAAAGCCCTGGAGAATGGGAAAACTTAAAGATGGAGGTTATCTGGCTTTCAAAATACAATATCCGTATGACTTTAGAAGAATGTAAATAAATAATATTAGTAAACAGTATATATTGATAATTTCCTGGCAAATTCATTTATCTAGCATCATGCTGAGGAATCAAGAGGATTTCTCCATACATTCACAAAGTCTTGTTCCATATTAACATAGTTATCACCAATGTAACATATGATAACCAGTACCCATGGAAACCTAACAGCCTATTTTTACAAAGTCCCTGTTAAGTTTTAATTCCCAGCTGTGCTTCATACATATATACATGCTTATATGCGTGGTTATGCGCATAGATTTATGCATGGATATAAGCATGGTGATATATGTGTGGATACTAATGCCCCTTATTCAAATGTAAAATTAACAGCATCTGGCATCTAGTTGTAAGAAAACCGTCCCCAGATTGGGAGATAGTTGAGTGACACATGAAAGATTCTTCTTCTATCTGAATTTAAGAGTACACCTATACTGGGAAGAGGGATGGAGAGAGGAAGGGTAGAAGTAGAAGCAGAAGTAGAAGAAAAGGACTACATTGGTTCAATAAACTCAGGTAATTAATTTGATACAGAAAATAAATAAATCAACAAATGCCCCATTTTTGTTTTCCAAAAAAATAAATCACTGGCAAATCCTTACTAACAATTTTTGAATTGGTCCATTAATATATTTTTTACATAGGAAAAAGTTTAAATATTATATATATTATAATTCTATTCATCTAATACACTCCTCTGCTGAGATATCTGACATGTCTTCATCTGTACTCTCTTCTACCTCTGGCAAGTTGCCCCAAAGTAGGAAGTTTACACCTGAAAAGAAAAGCTCATAAAATTATTTGGTGCTGACTACTGTTACAACTCAGAACATGATATATAAAACCTTATATGTTAACATTCTTATATCAAATCATAGTGTTAGCAGTTAAGAGAAAAGCTATTAAAGAATGAACCACAAATAACATGATCGATACCTAGGTATCAAAATTATCCAACATCTAGAATACAATCATTCTTTAAACACTTTTAATTAAGGGCTTGAACTCTAGAATCCTGGAATTCAAAAAGATCTCAGGAGTCCATTTCCTCAAACCTTGCCTCCAGTTACATTATGCTATAATCACTTTACACTGAGAATTTTCAAATCTATTTTAATGTTTTTTGTTTTTTTTTTTTTTTTTTCCGGTACGTGGGCCTCTCACTGTTGTGGCCTCTCCCATTGTGGAGCACAGGCTCCGGACGCGCAGGCTCAGTGGCCATGGCTCACGAGCCCAGCCGCTGCGTGGCATGTGGGATCTTCCTGGACTGGGGCACGAACCTGTGTACCCTGCATCGGCAGGCAGACTCTCAACCACTGCACCACCCGGGAAGCCCTATTTTAATGAGTTTTAAGAATGGAGATCTCACAACATCTTTTTAGATTACATTTCTCTTGGAGGGTGCATGGGAAAGGCCTGAATAAGTCTCCTCATCTCCTCAACAAGTATGGAAGTCACTGGTGCCTTTCTTCTGGTTAAAAAAAGCAGGGTTTTGGAGCCAGTTATAATATAAACAATAATCCTTGATATACATGGGTTTTAGGCTAGAGGCCGTCAAGGTAAAACTATAAACTTTAGGACCAGGTTGTAGCTGTCAGTACAATAAACAAAACGACAGTCTAAAGCCTCATTATGAAAGAACAGTCAAATATCATATTAAAGAATCCAGCACTGGTATACGATACAAGACCACATATATGGTAGGGGATAATAAGATGGTTTATTATGGGCACGTACTATATTATAACTTGAAAGCACTGAATTGAAAAATAATACCATTTTAATTGACCTCTTGGAGAGTCAATAAGAAAGCAAATCTCAAGCTGTCCAGTTGTCAGTGTGGGCACAGGGAAGACTCAGCAACTCTGGGTATCCACTCCACACATACTAAGATAGTGGTCACATGATGGAATAGAATGAGCCAGGGTTTGGAGATTTGGTTTGAATCCAATTTCCACCACTAACAGTACACCATGGATGTTTTTACTACTTTTACTACAAATGTATATAACCACAGGCAATATATATTACTGTTTTGTGTATATAAATTTTTATAGTATGCTATTATATGTATCTCTTCTAATTTGCTTTTTTCATTCAACATTGTTTTTGAGATTTGCCTGTCCATATGTGTAGATTTAGCTCATTTCTTATTTCTGTTGGGCATTCCATTCTGTGAATTAAAAACAAAAAAACAATATATATCTTAAATATGGCCCATCACTCATCCTTTCCTCTAACTGCCTATTTTGCACAGGTGCCCAAGGAGACATGTATAAGGATGCACACTGTTGCATTATTAAAATAGCGGAAACAATGAACCGTCTCTCTTGGGTGAGATACTGGAGTTTAATCAGGCAAGAAATTAGCATCTATTTGATGCATATTGATGTCTATCATATTATTTTTTGTAATTTTTTTGTATGTTTGAATTGTTTTCAATAAAAAACACTTCTTTTCCCCGGAGAATGGATGATGTTCTGCTTTTGAAGAGATGACAGGATAGTAAGGAATCATTAGGCAGAAATCTAAGGGAGAATTAGAACCCATAAAGGTGAATGGAGAGCTGAAGATAACTTTCCTTTGAGGGCATTTGCCAGTCCCACGGAATCTGAATGGAGGTTTCCCAAGCCTCCATAGGAGAGTCTCAGGAAAGGTCTACACGTGAAGGCTAACCTAGAACATAGACTTCCTGGGGCCCTTTCAGTCTAAACATTATAGAATTTTATAAAGCTTGTGTACATATTACTTTGATGCTGCTGATTCAGGTGATTCAAGTACAGTTCCAATGCCATGAGAATTCCTGTTTTATATGAAGCATCTAGAAAAATCTTCCTTCAAATCATAATATTAGGGTTACAAAGGAGAAGTTTGATATTTTTGGAGTCGATACTCAGAGACATGAGTGGCTCGGCACAATTGGTTCAAAGGAGAAAAAATAAACTAAGAGACTGGATCTGACAGAAGCAGCACCTTCCTTTCTCTGTTAAGAAGGGAGGAAGGAAATCCTGGGATACATCTGTTTCTCATGGATTAGATTCAGTGCAAATGGAAGAATGCTGGGCTTTTATCTTTGAAAAATTGACCAATATTAAAAAGTAAATCAAAATTGAAAAACCTCCGCCCTGTGTTTTGAATTCTATGAAGCAGGAAAAATAGTATCAAAGCAGAAACTTCCTTTAATGTGCCCCACGAGCAACACAAATATAAAACCGGAGGCCTAAATTAGGAAGCTATATCTCACTTAGGGGGGGTTCAGGTAAGTCCTTGCTCAAAAATGGCCTTCTTAACATACTAGAGTATTAAATTAAGGCCTCCAAATGATGGGTTGAAAGCCACAACTGAACGCCAGGTGATTAAAAAAAAAAGTTAGAGTCTATAAAAACCCAAGCATAATTGGAGGGTTTAAAGACACTGACAACCTAGCTTACAACTCATGATCTCTTAGTCTGTGAAGGCAAATCATACTTCAAAAAAAGAAGTATATTTTAAGTTCTGAAGAAGACTAAGACATACATTTAAAAACCTGAGAATGTTAGTGCCAACTTGGATTGTCAAGTTCTTTAAACTTATTCTGTATACTAAAGTTCTGTAAACTTTAGTTCCCTAAAAAAGTCCCACTAAAAGTTAACTTTGTATTAAAGTCAACTTTGTATTCTGTGTAAGCAGATATTAGACATTGAGAACATGTGTCCTATAACAAAACTCAAAGGCTCCAGACAATATAAAATGTATTATGTAAATATCTTTTAAGAATAGGTTGTGTATTTTTCTACTAAATAATCAGTAAAACATACTGGTATTAAATATTTCCCTTGTCTGAAATTTCATAATTAATTAATATAGATGTCAAAATGGCTATTTTTATCCTGAAGCAACATTACCAAGTACAGAGGTTACCTAGTTTTTCTTCCTCCCAGCTCCCCATGACCCTAGCCTCCCCTCCTCCCTTTTCTTACACACACACACACATACACTCACACAGACCCATACACACAATTGACTATCAAATCTAAATTATTCCAAAATTCACTGGAGCCATATTATATATCAAGGCAGAAATTTAGAGCAATTAAAATATTAATTTTAAAAGGCCAAGAAATCCAGCCAAGTTTGAGGCTCCTAAATATGAAGATGGAAATAGAAATGCAATGAATTTTGGCTAGTAGTTTCTGTAAGTAAATGTTTGGGATAAAAGGATCGAAGTTTCACTCTAGTGGATCCAACCCAGGTGAGAAAGTCTCAGAGGGGATCCTGAAATGATCTATGGAGAGGTTCACTGGAGTCTTGGTAGACAAAAGTTAGAGGAATGTCTGAGTCTGTTGTTTCTTACCAGTAGAGTCTAGTCTGTTAATACCATAAACTGCCTGGCTGTGAAACATCCAAAAGTGTCCATTGTTGCAGGAAAGAAGGCAGGAACAACATGGAACAATCACATGATAACCTACAATGTTCCCACTAAAAAGAGAAAGTAAATATTATTAGATACAAGGTAATATCTGACCATGTAAGCATTTTCATGTGCTAATGTAAACAGACAGACCATATAAAGATCTCATTTTCTCCTAACAACCTCCACTGCTGGGATCTTTGGGATGGGAGTTACTCTGATAATGGTTACAGTTCTACTGCCAAGTGGGAAAATAGTCTTTAAGTGAAATAAGAGTAACATATTCTCTGTTTCTTTGCTAGTATTGTTTATGCATTCCCCCTTCAGAAGCTAGTTTCTAAATGCCATAAGGTTGTGATTTGTCCAAAATTGATGGGCTGTATAGACAAAATACATTAAATAAACTCAGACCTGTGGATAAAAGGTTTTTGCTCTCCCCAGGACTGTTGCAAGTTGGGTTCTTATATGTTTCAGGTCCATGCCAGCACCTAAAAACTGTTTCAACAGATGGAGGAGTAGGAAGACAGCATGAGCCCATGAAAACCGAACACAAGCTGGCTGATCTAATTTTAGTCTCAGTGTTTTTGAAGGAATTCAGAAATGAAGCAAATCCATAGCTTCTAGAGAAAGTTGCAAAAGTTTTTACTGTCTCCAGGGTTATCCTTCTGATTAGAAATAACTCACTCTTCCATAGGTTTTTTCCCTATCTGGTCACTATTAAATAGAATGAATATACAGGGAACATTTTAGCTAGAAGTTTTTTTGTTTTTGTTTTTAATGACCACATGAACTGCTTACACCTTGAGTTGTAAAAATTCCTATTTATAGCTTGTTCCTCCCCTGTGAGATGTGAGTCAGTCATTTTTGTGAGGCCCTACAAAAAATACTATAAAAGGTACCAGCCCACCTAAAACATGTCTTCTAATCATAATCGTCTTGAAAGGCAAACAAATGAAAGAAAAAGATGTTCTTGGATTAGGACTGACAGTTATTTATAAGGCTATATTGTAAGAATAAATTCTACGGCTTTAATTACCACCTGTATTCATTCATTCATTCACTCATTCAGCTAATGTTTACAGAGCATCTGCTATGTGTCAGGTACTGTTCTAGGTGCTAGGAATAAAGTCCTTGTTCTCATGGAGCTTTCTAGTAGGGACACCTCAGATCATTTTGCTCCCTTGTTAAAACTCCTTCAATAGCTTTCCACTGGCCAAAAATGAAAACCCAAAGACCCTTCCTACCAAGGTTTAGATCTGTGCTATCCAAAACATGGCTATTGAGTACTTGAAATTTGGCTAGCCTGAATTGAAATGTGTTGGAAGTATAAAAATACACTAGATTTCAAAGACTAAGAATAAAAAATAAGAATGCAAAATATTTCATTAATAATTTTTTATGTTGGTTATATGTTGAAATGACAATTTTTTGAATCTATTAGATTAAGTAAAATATACAATTAAAATTAATTTCACCTGTTTCACCTGTTTCTTTTCACTTTGTAAAATGTAGTTGCTGGAAATTTTTAAATTACATATGTGGCTTGCACACATCTATTGGATGGCGCTGCTCTAGATTATCTGGGTTCTGACTGCATCACTAATCTACCCATACTACTCTCACCTGATGTTCACAATCTCTCAGCCACACTGGCCATTGTCTTTTCTATTCCTTGAACGTGTTCTTCTTTGCCTTGCGTTCTCTGCCCTGGCAGTTCCCTCTGCCTAGAACATTCTTCCTCTGGCTCCTCTCTATCTCATCCTTTAGGATTCAACTCCAGTGTTACCTTCTCATGAGGAGGCTTCCCTGACCATGCTATCTAAAATACCTCTTATCATTCTCTCAAGCTCTATTATTCTCTGTCATTTATTATTATTATTTCCTTTGGAGTACTTCCCACCCTATTCAAGATCTTATTTATTTAAATATCTTACTGATCGATTGTCTTCCTACTGGAATATAACGTCCAAAGGTCTATGACTTTGTCTTCTTTATTGCCGGATTTCCAGCCTCTATAACAATGACTCGCATATGGTAGGACCTCTGAGTTGTACTTTATAGTTTACCAAGTCTTTTAACATTCATAATTCACTTGATCTTTACAACAACTCTGTAAGGTAAACACAAAAGATATTTTAATTTCTATCTTAAGAAGATACCTATCTATCTTAAGAAGATACCTGTCTTCTTAAGATATAAATTAAATAAGGAAACAGAGTTTCAGAGGTTTAGAGATTTAAGAAGTTTACTCAAGATAACAAGAGAATAAGGGTAGGGCCAGGCAGGGCTCAAGCCTGATTTTTATGACTGTAAATCCAAGCGTTTTTTTTTTTTCCCCTCTAAACTATATTGCCATTTTCTGAAAGTTAAAGCAGATATTTGCTAATGCACTTTGAAAAACTGTAAAATCACATACAAAGGTAAAGTGTCATAAGACCTTTTTGAAAAACAGTTCTAAGTAACAAATGGTTTTTCAACGGTTCATTCCATAGGTGATAACCAGTGCTCGATGCAGCCCACTGAACCTTTCTCTGTGCTTCGGTGTCAATATCCATCTCCCAAACCCAGGGCTATTTGGAATATTGCCACACATTACCATTTTAAACATGCGATGTCCTTCAGTTTACATTTGCAAATTTCAGTGAAATAGCATCTTCCAATGAAGTCCACTGCACTGGAGAGGGAAAAGTATAGAGATAGTCAAATGTACTGTTAAAAAAATGTTGTGCAAAACACATAACATAAAATTTACTAATTTAACCTTTTTTTTTTTTTTTTTTTTTTGCGGTATGTGGGCCTCTCACTGTTGTGGCCTCTCCCATTGCAGAGCACAGGCTCCGATGTGCAGGCTCAGAGGCCATGGCTCATGGGCCCAGCCGCTCCGTGGCATGTGGGATCTTCCCGGACTGGGGCACGAACCTGTGTCCCCTGCATCGGCAGGCGGACTCTCAACCACTGCGCCACCAGGGAAGCCCTAGTTTAACCATTTTTAAGTGGACAGTTCATAAGTGTTAAGTGTATTCATATTTTTTGTGCAGCAAATCTACAGGCCTTTTTCATCTTGCAAAACTGAAAGTCTATACCCATTAAATAACAACTCCCCATTTCCCTCTTCCCCCAGCCCCTGGCAACCACTACTTTCTGTTTCTATGAATCTGACTACTTTAGATACCACAGATAAGTGGAATAATACAGTATTTGTCTTTTTGTGACTGGCTTATTTCACTTAGCATAATGTCCTCAAGGTCCATCCATGTTATAGCATGTGACAGGCAGGATATCATTCCTTTTTAAGGCTGGATAATATTTCATTACATGCATGTATCACATTTTGTTTATTCATTCATCTGTTGATAGACATTTGGGCTGCCTCTACCTCTTGGTTATTGTGAATAATGCTGCTAAGAACATGGGTGTGCAAATACTTCTTCTAGATCTTACATTAAATTCTTTTCGATATATACCCAAAAGTGGTATTGCTGGATCATATGGTAATTCTATTTTCAATTTTTTTGAGGAACCGCCACGCTATTTTCCATAGTAGTGGTACCATTTTACATTTCCACCGACAGTGCACAGGGTTCCATTTTTCCATACCCTTGCCACAAAATGTACTTTTGATTATGATTTAGCATGAATTTTGTAGACTCAAAGAGCTGCAAGAGACTCTAAAAGAAACTGTAAGAGAAAGTTAGTATATTTTGTAAGGGTAAGTTAATATTTGTGAGCTCACTATAAATATGACAAATCTTCTATTCAAAAAATCTTATGTGTTCATTGATTCATATACATCTTAGCACATTAATCCATCACTATTATAACCCCTACATGGAAGAGAAGACAAGAGGAAAGACCTGATTGTACTCCAGACTCTGGTCTAACCTTTAACAATCACATATCTGAGCTCTCCTTATGACTATTTTATACTTACCATAGCTATTGCAAAGACGAATGGGTTAATATTTAAAACTGTTGTTTCTGTATGTGCTACTAAAAAGAAAAGGCACTAGACAATAAATCATAGAAACTTTGCAGTAGTAGGTTCTAGATTTATTGTCTAGTGCTTTTTCTTTTTGCAACACATACACACGCACAGAGGTACTTGTAATAGCCCATTTATCTTTGCAATAAATGAAGGCCTTTGGCTTTGCCATTAGGCATGACTACACTTAAACCAATGAAGATAAGATTTCAAGGGAGGAAGAGTCACAGCTTTGAGTATATTTAATTTTTTAAAAAGTTTCTATCATTATCATGAAATTCATTTTAAAGTAGTCTGATTATTAGTGTGCCTTCTCTGGCTCTGTGTCCAAAGAACAGCTGTCCATGTGCATTTTGGATAATTTCTCTTTCACTTTAATGATAAAGTTTCAATAAAGAGCAAAATCTTGAAAAGCATGTAAAGGCACATATATGTTGACTATAGAAAGAGAAAGTACCTTTAAGAGCTAGAAAAAGGTATATTTGAGTCAAATAAAATGGCTATTTTTCCAAATAGGAAGCAAATTCTTAAGGACTCTACACCTAAAAGTGGGTAGTGACTGAAAAGAGAATTTAAAAGGATTTGAGTAGGCAAACCAATGCATAATATCTAAAATAAGCTTTATGGGTGACAGGGATTATTTGAGGGCTAAGTCCTGTTTCATCCCATAAAAATATATATGTCTCTCTCAGAAAGAGAGAGACAGGGAGATGATAAGAAAAGAATACTGAATTAGGTGGACAACGGATCTGAATCAGCATGCCAATTGCAAAAAATGGTAGAAAGCTAAGGAATGTTTTTTTGGAGTAAAACTTTAGGAACAAACATCAAAAACACTTAAATGACCTCTCTTCTCCAACAGTACAGAAAATCTTGCTTCAATTACCTACCGTCTCAGTCATGGACTTGATCCAGTGAGAGGAAGGTTTGTCAGGGTACAGTAGCCAGGGATTCAACTGAAGGGACCACATGACTATAACTGAACTAGAAGCATTACATCACGACTGACCACTCTGGCTAAACCACCGAGTTTGTCCAGACAGTCTTCCCCCTTAGTTAAACTCCAGGGGGATCATCAGACTGTTGGGAGTGGCTGGAACACCAAAATGATAACATCCTTGTTGACTCCCAGAGGTTCAAGCCATACACTTTTCCCATCTAGTTAAAGGCTACCGTTGCCCGCCACTAGCATGACTTACTTGGTAGGAGGGATGTCTGTAGAGAAAAGGTCTATTTCAGTGTCAGCCAGCAAAACAGCCTTCATTCCCCTAGAGCTGAGCACTTGTTTACAGAATTTGCAACACAGGATGGACACGCGCCGGTCATTGAAACTACAGCTGCTCGTAGACATGGCGTCCGGGGAAGGATGAGGTGTGGGATTTTGAAAATAGAGCAATACCCTCCCTAGTTTGATTCTCCCAGGCGAAAAATCAAATTGCGAGGCCTCGATCTTTTCTAAGCCCGAAAATTGAGAAGGAAATGAGTTCTTTTCTGTTTTCCCGTGGGGGGGTAAAAGTAGTAATTTATTGAGTAGAAACCGGGGAAAAGCAGCAACCTTGGCTTTCTCTTTAACTTTCGGGGAAGGGAGAGGAGTTTGAAGTGGGGAGGAGGCAGGCTGCAAGGTGCCTCGGGAACTTCTCTAGTTTTCCCTTTCTCCAGTCTGAAGGATCCTCTACTCTTAAGCTCCTGCTCCTTTTGCAATTCCCTTAGCTTCTCCCGTACAGGCTCTTTTATCTAAAGCTTCCCCCTTAAGCCCCTCCCTCGGAGCGCTCCAATTCCTCTCTCGGGTCGCGGGCTAAGCGTCCCTACCCACGCGTCCTCTTTGGAAATCTTTCTCCTCTCCCCAGGATTCAGAAATCCCCTCAGCTTTTCCCACCGGGCAATCCCGGGTGTTCCTTAATCCTCCCGCGACCCTCCTCCGCTCTGCTCTTTCGCAGGCCGCCTGCTTCACTTCTCTCCTGGCAGTCCCCAGCCCTCAGCGTGCGGGCTCTCGCGTCGTTCCTCTCGCGACTCCCTCCCCTCAGCTTTCCCTCGTGCCCCGCGCCGTTCCCTCAAGTCTTTCCCGAGCTGCCGCTCCAGAGCTCACGGTGGTGCTGGTGGGGAGGGGCAGAGGTCGCTTTGGGGGCTCCGTTGGCGTTGGTGTCTCTGCCACTGAACACGTCGTTTTTTGCTCCCTCTTCCGCTCTTTGCCTTTCCAACCGGCTGTCAGTTTGAATTGCCAGCGCTGCGCACCCATTGGGAGAACTAGAGTTCGTCCACGTCCCGCATTGGAAGACTCGGGAGCCTGCCCCTGGCGGGATCTTAGTGGCCAGGAGATCTACGCCCCGCCCCAGTAACGGTGCCTAGATAAATTCGGCTTGCTGGTTGGTCGAGATTTGCCCCTCCTCCGATCTCATTGGTCAGCTCCGCGAGGTTTGGGCGAACCCTACTCCCGCCCCAGTGAAAGCAGCAAGGCACGCCCTTCGCGCTTCTCATTGGAAGACGTTCTACAGTCCCCGGAGTTCTCTACTCTGTATTGGCTAAAATTCTCCGCAACGCCCCTCCTCACTACCCCGGTCCAATTGGTCATGCCTTCTCTCAGAAGTATGTGTTTGGCTGTTGGTTCTATCTTAATCCCGCCCATCAGTTCTACTTTGGGGTTCGGCAGCCCGGGGAGGAGCTTACTCTGTGACCACGCCTCGGTTGTGCTAGTCACACCTCCAAGTTTCGCCAGCCCCTCCTCCTCATTCCTAGCCTCTTGGGATCACCTATTCCTATTGGCTACAGGGCCCATCGGTCGATAGAAAGTGGGCGGTGATTGGCAAGGGGGTGGACTCTGCTTCCCGGCGGGGTCCTGCGGAGTTGGCGGAGGCTCCTCAGGGGACTGGGGGACCGATCTGCGTAGACGCGGGTGGCGGGGAAGAGAGGGGAGGAGAGCTCTGAGTGGGAAGCGGAGCCGGGGGCCCGGGACCCGTCGCGTCAGAGCCAGGTAAAGGCTCCTTCCCTCTCCCCTTTCTTCTTCCCCGCCGCGGAGCTGGAGCCCTGACTGAACAAATCCGGGCAGAGGCGGGAAGGAGAGGGCGCGGATGCTGCTTTCGGCGTCGCCTTAGCGTTGCCGCCCGAAATCCTTCAGACCGCCTCCTTCCTGACCCACTCCCAATCTCCCAGTACAGCTCAAATACTTCTTTAGGACTGCATCTCCGCCCTTTACCGTATTGCCTGGGACTCTGCCTTGGCTCACATGCCGCCGCGCAGTCTGCACCCAGCCCCCTCCCCAAGTCCTCTGCACACTGGCAGCCTTGGTCCACCTTCGGGCAACCGTCGTTGGCATCACCCGTAACAATCGGCTGCTCTCTTTCTCTGTCTCCAAGTCCTGGCAGACAGTCGGGTTACAGCCCTGGACCCAGAAGGATGGGTGTTCCGCACTGCTTCCGGGGCTCTTCCCCTGCCCCAGCCCCCGGCGCGCCCGGAATGGCTCCTCTTCACGCACTCCCGTTCCCATACCTATATCTGGGTCCCCAAAGTTGCTAATATCCTAGTACTCCATGTAACATCGCGGCCCACGATAGTCTCCTAACTTCCCCCTCACCCCCAGGGTAATCCTCCCTTTGCCCTCTCCTCGCCTATCAAGCGTGTGCAGAAGCTCCAGTTATCCCCGGTTCCCGTGCAGCCTCAGGACCCCACCTCTCACCCCCCTCCCCGCTTCCTGCCTGTCTGAACCACCACGCCGCTCCTGCCCCTGTTCCTCCCTCGGTGCGGCCCTTTCTCCAGGCGCGGGAAGTGGGAGACTCCCGGCGCGGAAAGGGAAAGGGGCGGCCAAGGAGGGAGGGTCGCCGCTGCGGCGCGTTCGGGAGCGAGACGCTCGGCTCTGCACTCCCGTCCCAATCCCTCCCACCTCCTGGGCCTAGGTTGGAGCGGGATCTCCTCGGGTACCTCCTGGTGTGAGGAGTCGGGACTGCGACCCTCAACGACCTTCCCCCAACCCCCAGCCGGGGATTGGGTGCGGTATCTGGGATCTCTGGGCTTGGGTGACCAATTGGGGATGGCCTGAGAGGCGGTGGCTGCCTTCCTCCCCCCCTTGACAAGGAGAATCTGTCCATCAACTTCTTGGGTAGTTAAAACAATAAGTTTGTAAATTGTATAGAAAGTGTGGGTGGAAGCACCGCCCCCGCCCCCCGCAGCTGTTAGGAGCCCCCCCCCCCGCCCCCCCCCCCGCCTTCCCGGTTTTCCCGAATCCGACCCTTGCCTCTAACCCGTTTCCTGCTTCTGCCGACCACATTGTTTTCCTGGATGTGTCCCGTGCCGAGCAGGCTTTTTCCTGCAGATCACTCCCCCCTCACCCCCCAACATTTTGCTGCCAAGAGAAGCTAGCAACCAAAAACAAAACAACTGGGAGGAGGGGCGCAGGGGAAGAAAAGTTGTGCCCGGGTGACTTGTCCCTCCCTGGCTTTGATCCCCTTTTAAGTCAAGGGAGTTGCCCCAGCTGGGGGTCGGGGGCCGTATCAGAGGCAGGGCCAGGAGGGTTCCCTCCGGTAGCCGCTGCCCAGCGCTGGCAAGGTTCGGGAGGTCGCCGAGGTGCCGCAGTCCCCGCCCGGAGCCCCGCGTTCCCGCCGCTAGTCCCCACCCCAAGCCCTCGAAGGCGGCTGCTCCAAAGTGTTTTCTTTCAGCCTTAAAACAAAATCCGGAGGGAGCTTCCTTCCTCCCCACCTCGCTGCTCCGGGCTCTGCGGGCCGGGCGGCGTTTGGCTGAGATGAATGGGCCCTGGCCAGGCTGGAAACGGCTTCCCTTACCCCACCCCCGCATCGATTAGGATCTGCGCTGGGGCTGATCGCCCCCTCCTCTTTTCCCGGCATTTACAGGCAAGTGAACCGGAGCAAACGACTTCCGATCCAGTCTGCGCTGCTGCGGCTCCCGTTTGGGATTTGATTTGCAGCATCTTCGAGGCTGTGCAACAAAAAACCGCGAAGCACGCCCAGCCCTCCCCCGGCACCCCGATACGCACCCACTCCCTCCCGGGGACCCAGCTGGGCGAGTCCACATCCCCGCGCCCCCCACACCATGTTGTGCGGAAGGACTTCCACTCCCCGCCTGTGTCGTTGATGTCAGACCCCAGGCCAGCCTCCGGGCGCTGCAGTTCCCCCGGCTAATGCTGAGGCTGCGGCTTGGGCTCTAGCTCAGGAACCAACCGCCGCCGCGCCGGCCCCAGCGCCCACCGTCTGCATGTGTCCGCCGTAGCCGCCTGCCCAGCCCGCAGCCCGCGCTCCCCGGAGCGCTGGAGACCACCGCGGGGGGCCCCTTCTGCCTTTGGGAGAAGCGATCTTGGAGGTATTGATTTCGGTGGTTGGATTTTTCCCGTGGATTTATCAATTCACAATTCGAATTTGGAAGAAAGAAGGAAAACATGACGTCTCCAGCCAAATTCAAAAAGGATAAGGAGATTATAGCAGAGTACGATACTCAGGTCAAAGGTAAGGGCTTTGAAAAATAGCATAATGCATATTCTCTGTAGACCATTGAGGCATGGATTTCCACCCTGATTTGCAAGATGTTCATTTCTTTGGGTGGAGCAGGTGGGGGCAGGCTGACCCCAGAGGTGGTTTCAATATGCGGGTCTGAGCCTCCGAGGGATTGGCCATGCCAGGGGCCACAGGCTCTGGAAAGGAATTTTCGGAGCGGGCTTTAGATTTATCTGTAGGGCTGGCCATTATTTTGGCAGTCCTTTTCCCCAAGCTAAATAGGATGGGGGGAGGGGCAGGAGGTTCTTGGAGAGAGAAAGGCGGCAATTTGCCTCTGGGTGTCTGGGTCAGGTTTCCTTGAAGGACAACTGAAATCTGACAGGTGTTTGGGAATTTATTTCAGAGGTTGAAGAGGAGTCCAGGCAGAGAAAGGCAACCTTGAGAAGGTGTACCATTTGGAGAGCCCTGGGAGATGCGGGTTTTTTTTTCTGATGCACTATATCAAAACATGACACTCGCTATGGCATCAGGCACAGAAAGTCTGTGGCCACCTTGGGTGCACCTTGTACCTGCCTGGTCTCTGGTTGTCTGCATTCAGAGATCAGAGAACAGAAAGAATAAGGTCACTCACACCCAGTCTCCGCCCTCACCTAAACCTGAATGGAGTTGGGTTGTTGCTGGGTGGTGCTGAGTCTGGAGAATGGGAAGACATAATTGTTTAACCCTTCTGTGTTGTCCCCTGCTCCAGAATACATGCTTTTAAAGGCCTGCTTACCTCTCTGCAAAAATATGAGGGGTAAAGCAAAATGTGGACCTAGAGAAATCAAGTGACCTGCTAGCACATCTAGTCCACTGCCTGACTTGGTGCATGAATCAATACCCCTTCCCAGATAGCCTTTTTTAACCAGCAATTCCCATAGAAGGGGTTCCCGCCTGTTAAAGAGCCCCAGCATATGGTTATGCAAGGCACCGTCCCTTCTCGGCCATGTGGCTCTAGCCCACTGAGACTTCAGCTGGGTAGTGGGAGAGGTGGGTGGCCTTGAATGTTACACCACATGGTTGGAGCTCTGGGTTTTCCTTTGTTTCGGAGTACAGAGGGAGGGGCCCCTCCTTCTTTCCCTGCACCAATGTGAGAAGACCTTTTCCTATCCTAGAGGACTTGGGAAGGGCCATGCCTCCCCTCTAATGATTGCAGGGGGTGCGAGTAGGGCTAGAGTTTGAAATGGGCAGCTGCTTTATCTCTTGGAAGGTTGGAAGGTAGTTTGAAGTCCCCACTGTGTCTGTAGGATCTTTTTAATGTCATCAGGTTGGTCAGTGCTGGAGGTGCCCTGAGGGACCTTCTATCCACTGGGCTGCAAATATTGGTGGGTTTATTACAGAGATGGGGGAGTTGACTGATGGAGAGCTTCAGTTGAACTGGGATTGGGAGAGGTGTGGTTGTGAGGTATAACTGAGGTCTTGGCCTCTTGTCACTGTTCATAATCCAGGCCTCTTTTTGTAAACAATAAGCCACTGGCCTCAGTGTCCTGTCCAGATGCACTGCAGTTTGCTGCTGGAATTCCCCCCTGCAGTTTTAACCAGATATGTCATTCTTTTTCTTTTTTTTTTTTTTTAAATACATCCTATTCTTAACTGTTGCCATAGGGAGCATTAATAACTTTGACTCTCCCAGAGTTCTCTCCAGAAGCACGCCATTTGACTAAGGTGCAAAGTGAATTTACATGTTTGTTTTTTGGAAGGTTCGGGACTGATAGGTATTAATAGAACTGTATCTGCTGATTCTGTATTGGTGAAGGATTTCTCACAAGTGTCTCAATTAAATACTTTGTGTATTTACAAACATTACTCATTGAGATGATGTAATGCAGTTGACTATTTGGGGTTTGTCTTCACCCTTGCCACAAGCAGGGGACTCTTTTGCTTTGCACTGATATCTTTTCATTAACACTATTCAGGATCATAGAATTTTATAGGTGGCCGAGCATGATGTCTTACTCAGAGAAGGTGCCCAGTGAATGCTTAAGAGACTAATTTGAATGGTTTAGTCCCTCATTTACAGCTGAGGCGAGTACAGAGAAATAAAGAGGCTTGTCCAAGGTCACACAGCTAGGTGGTGGTAGATCTGAAACTAGAAGCAGGTTACTGACTCCCAATTCTCTATTCTATTCTATTCATAATTATTATGAAACATCATTTGACCAGAGTAGGGAAAAAAAAACTTAAGAAGCCAAAGTCTGACAATGGATAATAGTAGTAATAGTGATAATAATAGATTACATTTTGGGTGGTCATTATGTTCCAGCCTGTCCCAAGTGCTTTATAAGAATTGTCTCATTTAATCTTCACTTAAAACGTGGAGGTGAATATTCATCCTCTATTCACTGCATGAAGAAACTGAGGCTTAGAAAGGTTAAAGAAGCCCTCCCAAGGTCACACAGCCAAACCACAGCAGGTGGACTCCACTTTATTCATCAACTAGTTACCAAGTGCCTTCAATGGGTTCTGGGGACTGATGATGTAGCAGTGAACAAGAAAAAGTCCTCTCCCTCATGAAGCTTGCATTCTAGAGTCTGTGTTCTCCATGGAAGATCATAGAACTTGGAGACAAAGGACCCGGGTTCTGGGTTGGCTCTGCTCCCCTACTAGCTGGAAACCCTTGGACAGATTTATGATGTTTCAGCTTTTTATGTGTTGTGTGGGACTCATAGTGCTGCCAGTCTTACTTCTCTTATAGATGCCAAGATAAAAAAGAAAATTGCTTTTTTGGTCTGGTGGTTAAGAGTGCAAGTTTTTGAGTCAAAGGGATCCAGGTTTAAATGTCAGTGCTGTCACTCGCTTGCCTCGCTCCTTGGGCAGGTTACCGGACTTGTCCAAGCCTCGGGATCCTAACCTGGAAAATAGGCCACATAATATGTGTTTCCTAAGGTCGTTGTGAGGATTCAATGAGATAGTATATCAAAATCATTTAGCACAGTGTCTGGCACTTGTAAATGCTCAATAATAGTAAGGTCTGCTGAAATGGGATGACCGTTAAGGCCGCATTGCCTTTTCACTCCCAAAGTGCCAGTTATAATGATAGGAAACAAGTCTAGGATGAAACTTGAGTTCTAGCTTAAGTTCCTCCAGTAGTAGTGAAAGGTATCTTGGTTTAGTCACTTAAACCCTCTAGAACTCAGTTTCCCATTCTGTAAAATGAACAGGTAAACTGTCTAATTGTTGACCGCTGTTGTTCTGTATGTTTCTGACCAGAGTCCTGGGTCTTGCTTTTCAGTCAGAATGGTTTGAATCAAGGGGACCCTTAATGGACTTTGGGGGACCCTGTCTATCCTGTGGTTTTGGGTCCCTTTAAACCACCTGCTTGCGTGTGCCCTGAGGGACTTCTGAGACTGCAGCCCCAACCCTGCCCCAGTGTGTTTTATGAAGGGCGTACTCCTTAGCCTGCCTTGGAGCCGACTTCTTAAAAACCATCATTGTTTCTGGTTTGTGGGTGTTCAGATTCCTTTGAAAGTTCATGCCTTTCAATCTCTGACTCGAAAGCAATAATACTCTTCGTATTTGTACATGGCTCAATTTACAAAGTGCTTCATATACATTAATCTTGGCAAATTCTTGACAGATTCATGGTCAGATTCATGGTCATAACCTGAGGCCTTTTGGCCTCTAGTTAGTTAGCTTCTTTTGGGATTGGAACAGCAAAAGGTGGTAAGGTGCAGGGCATAACCATCACAAGAGGTGATAATCTAGCTGGCATTTGGATGAATTCACATCACAGCAAACCCTCCCAGCTATTGTCCTATCTTTGTTTAAGGCTCCCTTTCCTGTACCCTCTCCACACCTTGAGTTTTTACTGTCCCCCAGAAAACTTGAGATTGACAGTTAATGCAAATATTCTAGGAGGAATCATCTGAAACAGAGTGGCACTGTGTGCTGAGCCGTCAAATTCTCTTTCTTGAGAACATTAGGGGTCTTGTCTTTTTTTTTTTTTTTAATGTCTTAGAAGAACAGTGTGTGAGCACCACAGAGCTGAGAAGTGAAATTTTGTAATTTCCATCTGGAGCATTTTGATAGAAAAGCCTTTGCTTGGAACAGTTTAACCCTTTCAGGACCCTTTCAGAGCAGGAGATGAAATTTAAAACTTTAGACATATTGTGTGTGCACACACACTTGGGAATGCGGATTGCTGATATTTAAACAAGCTTGTTCCCCGGGGAGGTGTGAGCGGTTCTTCAGTCCTGCCAACAAAGGTCTTCTCCGAAGCTTCTTTCCTCCCAGCCCCCATTCCTCAAGGGAGCTTTAAATATAATCAGTTTGTGAAAAGCTGCAGTAAAACATCTCGTTGGAATCCCCAAGCAGATGCTATCATCTTCCTGTGAGATGATTGAAGGCACCTCTTCCTTTGCTCAGGGAAAATAGGACTCTAAGTTAGGTGAGCTCCTGGAAGAAAATGAAGCTCTTGGAAAAATTAAAGTACTGTACTCTGTATCTCCAAGTTAAAAGGCCCTGGAGGAAGGTGGTGGGCAAGGAGCTGGGGATGCTGTGTGCTGTGCAAAGTAGCAATGGTTAGAAACAAGGTTTGTGAGGGGTCCTTAACTTTTCCAATTTCAGGCATTTTCTTGGGGAATGGGAACAGAAATTTCCTTTGGAGAAGCCCATCTGGTAATTATGCACCACACAGGCTGACAGCCCAGACAAGCCCTAATCATTTCTCTGTTTTGAAGTTTACAGGGTCTGACCTGGCCCTGATATGTAGGGTCCACACCCTTTAAAATCAGCAGGTGCTCAGCCCCTGACTCCTAAACTCCCTCTGTTCACTCTAGATAAACGTGGGCTGCTGGTGGCACCTGTAGGGTTCTCCTTCCAGAAGAGAGGTTTTCTTCATGGGAATTGTGATTACTTTAGACCCTAGACCTCTGAGGGCTTTGTTAGGAAAATATGATGTCATGTTGTAGGG